TTTGAACAAATAGGAATGTTTTGAAACTTCATGTAGCTGTTAAGTTTAACCCTGTCAGACAATGTCTGGTGGTGCTTTGTGTCAATGTGTAATGTGTTTTGTGTTTATATATCTGTATATGTATGTATATGTGTGTGTGTGTGTGGCCACCCAGAACATTATGCTTGGGCTTGGAATGGTGAGAAAAATAGGAGTTGATGAAGGGCCCTATAAAAACCACATGTTTGGTTGGAATCAGCTCTTGATTTTTCTCGCTTCTTGCAGGACAAGTCATATGTTTAAATAAATGTTGTTTTAACAGTATTTGTGTATATATGTTTGTCTATGTTGTTCTGTGTTATTTCCAAGACTTGGAAGAGGGTCAAACCCTCTCTGATAACAACTATATACAAAGGCCTTATTTACAAGTATATGGTTTGCCTGGAGAATGTATAAAATGAAATATTTGTATGTGGAATTATTTATGAAAGCAGTTAGAATGGAAGTGAATGAGTTCATTTGGTGATACCTAAGTGTGTGTGTTAGCCCTCAAGCCCCACCCCCCACCCACTCTCTCCCAGGCTGTGAAAGAAATAATGAACTGTAGATTTTATTGTTGTAAAAGAAATTGAAAAGTAATAGTACGTGTTTGCATGAGAAGAGGTTTATGAAGGAAATGGAGAAAGTGAGGGAGGAGGCGGAGATAGATAAGGATGAAGGATGGGTGAGAAGAGTTTTATGGAAAGGCATATGACTGAGAGAAACCTATTTTTGGGTGATGAGTTCCCCCCCCTTCTCTTTCGGCTGGCTGTGTTGCTTTACAAGCACAGGAGAGACGGGGGGGAAGAGGGGGGAGCTGTTCGTTTGAAATTTTTTTTTTCCTCTGCTTAGAATTAGAAGGGTGGAACAGAGGGGAAATTTGATATCCACTCTTGCTGCGTAGCACAAACGTCACCCATTGGCTTTGGTATTTCATTATATGAGTGATATTCTAATTGGAACACCAAAGACACAATCTAATTGGCTTTCAGAAATACAACATGATTTAAGTCTTTATGGAATGCAAGTTGCCCCAGAAAAAATACAGTTGCATTCTTCTTATTTTACCCCAGCTTTTCCTCATTTGAGCCTACCCAAAATTATTTCATTGGTCAATTTACAGCAATTGTTAGGCATCCTCTTTGCCTACAAATTTGCTCAGTCCATTATTTGATTTAGTGACCAAAGAAAAACAACCTGAAAATTTTATTGTAGTTCCATCTGGAGCATTTGCCACAGTGGAACAAATTAATGACATCTTGAATACTCAATTTGTGGACAGAATTCCACATAAACATTGTCAGTTAACACTTTTGTTTTTCCTCCTACTAAATTACCTACAGGAGTTTTAGCTGTGATAAAAGTACAAAAAATATATTGTATTGAATGACTTTATTTACCCCACACCCCATCCCAAAATGTTTTATTTTTTATCCAGGTGGTTGCTGAAATGATAACCTTAGGATGCACACGAGCTTATCATCAAAATGGAACTGATTTAATTAATATTGTTTTTTCTATTCCAAAATCTAATTTTCAATTTTATTTTCAGGATAACTTATCTCTTCAATGTATAGGCTGTATTTCATATCACCTGCCTAAAGATCTTTGACTTGCTTGTTTAATGACTTCTTCCTTTCCTGTCCATCCTCTGCTTTCTTTTTCTTCCTTGCCTCAAGCCCCTACTGTCTTTAGGAGTAGGAGCTGGAGGGAGAACGAGAGGAGCAGTTGCTTACAAGGATCCTCATGATGTTACCTAAAAAGTGTCCTACACTGCAATACAGTCCTCACCACAATGCTCAGAATTAGCTGCTGCTATCTTGGTTTTTCA